GTAACTTCTGGTTTTCCAGGTACCAAGGCGAAAGCCCGTTCTTGACGTTTTTGATCGTTCCTCTCTCCTCCAAGTCCTGCAGGTTTCCTGACTGGGCCAGAGGGGCTGGCTGTAGGATTAGTTAGCTTTGGACAATCCCTCAGCAAGTGGCCAACTTGACCGCATTTAAAACATGCTCCCGTGTCTCGATGGCATTGTCCCCCAATGAGCCTTCCACAATTGGGACAAATTGGAACAGTGCCATCTCGGGGGTGGGTAGGACCTTGATGGCCTAAACTGGTTGTGCCCATATTCACTTTTTTGGGAGGCGCGACACCGGGTCTTTTGTTGTCTCTTTTCCAGAATCGCTTCTTGTGGCTTGGTTCCCCAGAACGCGAGGCTTAAATCCCCTTTTCTGCAATGTACGTCCGGTCTACCACTTCAGCATAGGTTGGCAGTTTCAAGACCTCGAGCCTATCTTTAATTTTAGCATCCAATCCTGCTTCAAATTTTCTTACTTTTCGAGTTTCGATGGGGATGACGTATGTTTCAAACCTAGCGAGTTGAGTGAACCTGCTCTCGTATTCGGCCATCGTCATGGTTCCTTGCTTTAGATGTATGAATTCAGATGCCTTCTGTTTCCGCAACGAATCTGGGAAGTATTTTTCGTAGAATACTTCCAAGAATTGTGCCCAAGTCATAATTTCTTCTTTGGCCAGAGTGAGAAGCGACCATTCCTGTGCATTGTCTTTGAAAGTGAAAGTGGCGAAAGTTACCTTTTGTCTTTCGTTGCAGGGTAGGGTGCAAAAAAAAATTTCCATGTCTTTAACCCAAGCGTTTGCTACCATTGGGTCTGGGCCGCTGGTAAATGTAGTGGGTTTCAGATCCAGAAACTGTTTTATGGTAACTGGCTCTTCTCTCCGTTCTGGCATCCCATTATTGATGTTAGTTTGCAAGGCTTACAAAAAGCTAGTAACCACTCTTTCTTGCCATTATTCTTTCCATCGATTCAGTGCCACTGAATGATGACTCGCTTCTGTTACCATTATTGGCCATTCTACAAAGTAGCATATATGTAAGCATGTGTAGCGCAATCTATATCTATATAAAATGACAAATTTACTATTTCTACAATTAATATTACATCTTTGTTTCAAACATCAAAAATTGTGTTAGTGTCTCATCCTTGTGGTAAACAAAAAAAAAAAGACAACAAAAGGGATCAAAACACATCATGGTCAGCATATAAAAAGGTTTTCTCCTATCAAATCTAAAGTGGTGGATCAAATGGGCCAAACAACCATAGGAAATAGTACTGCATAAAAAGCTCAAATTCCCACCCCAACTGGACTACACCAAAACACATTCACTTTGTCTGGACTATGAAAATGGGGACGGACTGTTGTGAAAATGGGGACAGACTGTATGTATCCCAAAAATGCTCGATAAACAATCCAGTCGGGTGTCTCAACATATGACAAGTCATCATTAAAGTCAACATTTTGAATATTAATTATCTCCAACGGGTTAGAGACTGGTGAAAATATAGTCCTCAGGGTACACGTTCCGCCTTTGGCCACAAAATCTGGGGGTAGAAGGCCTATGATATAATGCGGGCGGTCATGTCCCGGGGCAACGCCAAGGACACGAATGGGTCCAAGAAAACGTCTACGTGTATCGGTACGGATTTGCCTCCACAGTAAATGTGGGACATCGGTAGGGTCAGCCTGGATATAAACTGGCCGACCCATCAACTGGGCAAGGCTTAGATGCAATCCTCTGATTATGTCCTCTGAATCTTCCCCACCCTCAGGTGAGGCGGGGGGCGGGGTGCTCAGCTAAAATCTCATCTAAATTAATGGCCTCAAGCTCATCCCAAAACGCATCATCAAGTTTAATCTCTGACATTCCTACAACACCAAGATAAATGTGAGATTTTACACAAAAGGACTAATGTTGCAGGTAAATATTTATTATTATTATTATTTTATCTTATTTTACTTTGTTATGTTTATTTAGCTATATAGTTTTATTTATAGATTTATTTATAGTTTTTCGAACTTCCTGATCAAATTAAAATAGTTTTTTTTTTTTGAACCGTTGCTCTGATACCACCTTTGTCACGACCCGACCCGACCCTAGGGGCTTAGAGTTGGAATCGCAACTTACTAACTCATTCTATTTGTAGCAAATTAAACTGCGCAAGTGGAAATAAAACTAATTAAAAAGGAAATTACTCCTATTTTACTATTTCAATAAGAGAAAATATATTTATAGAGCTTTTATTATTTTATTATTCAGTGACCGGCCCCGAGTAGAACAAAATGGAGTAAAAACATATATATATATATATAAAGAAAGACAAAATAGTGGTTCAACATCAATCCACGTGTGGATTCCATTTCGTGAGGTTATGGGTTTCTCCTACATCTCATCACCTGAAAGGGTAACAGCTATAAGCACACAGCAGAGTGAGAAATATTATACCAAGAGTATAAGGAATGCAAAATAACCATAGATAGTTAGTTAGGCCAAAACATTTATATAACTCAATTTAGTAAATAAATCATTTAAATGGCAGAAACTGAATTACATAAATTATGTAAATAAATAACCATAACCATGGTACAGAACAGAATAGAACAGAGGTCACAGAAGTAACAATCAGAACAGAGGTCAATGGATCCATGACAAACAGAGGACCACAAAGTGGCCAAACAGAGGCCAATGGTTATTTAAGTCCCCCAAGGCGTGAGACTCCCGTGGTGGTACTTACAAAACATAATTGTTTATAAGGTCATAGTCAAATATATACTAAAATTTAAACAAACATATTCATGGGTTTCATTTTAAACAAATAGAGTTTAGAAAATAACCCACGTAATTGAAATATGAATATATTTTATAAAACATAACTTGTATAAATTAAATTATGGTAAGTCAAAACATACGTAAAATATATTATGGTAACTGAAGGTATAATATAACTCACCTTAGGATTGAGTCTTACTAGTTCCTTTCTATTTTTCCTATCTTTTCGAAATTGTTCTTCCTCCTTTCGATTTCTCTTTATTTTACTCTCTTATTTCCCTCATTCCTTTACCTCAGTCGTAGTTCCCCCCAACTTCTTATATACATGCAAACTCATGATGTCTCCATAGGGTGACTCATTCTCCCTAAAGCTACGTGGCACAAATGACATCCAGCCATCTCTCCTGAGAGATTATAATCTACTAATTAATGGCGAGTAATTGATTGGCTTTATCTCATCAGTAAGCTTATTATTATTATTATTATTATTATTATTATTATTATTATTATTATTATTTGTTTACTCTAACTTTTACATTTATTTATTTGCTATCTTTAACTCTAATTTGGCCTAACTAGTATTATAATTCTATATTTGTGTTAATTTGGTCCCAAATAATAGTCTCTAATTAATCCTATATTTGATAACCTAATGTCAAATTAGACTTATATATTTATTTCTTATTATTTATTTATTTAATAATATATCACCACATACAACCATAATTATATTTAACTATAAATATTTATGTGATATTTAATTAAAGGTTCAGGGTGTCACAAAAACTACAGAAAAGGCGATTATCAATTTGCCTAGTGACCGTCGCAAACTTAGTTTAGTCACACAAGATACTCATACAATTGACGCAATTGAAGAAATATTTGACAAAATTGCCACATCTTCTAAACGTTCCAAGGATAAAGGTATATTAGTTATCATTCAACAACCTATTCTCGATACTAATAATGAGTCATCCACCTCTGATGATGATGAAATAAGATTAATAGAAAAACAATTTTAGTCTACTAATCTTAATAGGATAGTACACCCTAAGGTTAACTCTACTACTCTTACAAAAAATTGGTATACTAAACTCACCCCACCTAATCTTCAATTTGAAGAAACTAATATTAATAATCAATTTTTCATTTCTGCTAAAAAATTATATAAATGAAATAATGCCTGTGGGTGAAGGTTGGATTGTTTGAGTTGGAAAAACTCATTGAAATCCGTGTTTTAGTCTACTTGCGAGTAGCAAATTCCAAAGCGCTTTTCAAAGCAAACGGATATGCAATACTTGTTTCCAAATTAGGCAATCTAGTCTATACTTGTTTGTTGTGTGCATAACATAGTAATTCTAGGCTAATAACCGGAATAAGAACATGTAACGTTTTCAAAATTAGATATCACGGTTAGTAGAGGCCGGTCTTCGGACCGGGCGAAAGGGGGTGCTCATAGCTGACCTTCCCCGATCGTACCCAAGCTCCCGAGCCGAGATAACTCCGGTGATGACGGACATGTGGCCTTCGGCACCGAGTCAGGGTTTCCTAAATTCTCCCATTTTAAAATATTTAGGTGGCGACTCTGTATCTGGCAAAGCAGTCCATGTTTGGCACTTCTTTTCAAAAAATCTGTTTCTCAAAACGATTTGCCGGATTTGGACTCTTTGGTTCAAGATTAAGAACCGTAACACAAATCGAGTGTCCGAACTGTAGCGAGGTCCCACGCGGGCGCGTCTACAAATATGTTTTTAAATATTTGACCCAAAGTCAATGAGGACATGAGCTAAATGACCACAGACAGAAAGTGTACCTGACACAACATTTTCGGTAACTTCTGGTTTTCTACGTACCAAGGCGAAAGCCCGTTCTTGACGTTTTTGGTCCTTCCTCTCTCCTCCAGGTCCTGCAGGTTTCCTGACTGGGCCAGAGGGGCTGGCTGTAGGATTAGTTAGCATTGGACAATCCCTCAACAAGTGGCCAACTTGACCGCATTTAAAACATGCTCCCGTGTCTCGATGGCATTGTCCTCCAATGAGCCTTCCACAAGTAGGACAAATTGCAACAGTGCCATCTCGGGGGTGGGTAGGACCTTGATGGCCTAAACTGGTTGTGCCCATATTCACCTTTTTGGGAGGCGCGACACCGGGTCTTCTGTTGTCTCTTTTCCAGAATCGCTTCTTGTGGCTTGGTTCCCCGGAACGCGAGGCTTAAATCCCCTTTTCTGCAATGTACGTCCGGTCTACCACTTCAGCATAGGTTGGCAGTTTCAAGACCTCGAGCCTATCTTTAATTTTAGCATCCAATCCTGCTTCAAATTTTCTTACTTTTCGAGTTTCGATGGGGATGACGTATGTTGCAAACCCAGCGAGTTGAGTGAACCTGCTCTCGTACTCGGCCATCGTCATGGTTCCTTGCTTTAGATGTATGAATTTGGATGCCTTCTGTTTTCGCAACGAATCTGGGAAGTATTTTTCGTAGAATACTTCCAAGAATTGTGCCCAAGTCGTAATTTCTTCTTTGGCCAGAGTGAGAAGCGACCATTCCTGTGCATTGTCTTTGAAAGTGAAAGTGGCAAAAGTTACCTTTTGTCTTTCGGTGCAGGGTAGGGCGCAAAATTTTTTTTCCATGTCTTTAACCCAAGCGTTTGCTACCATTGGGTCTGGGCCGCCGGTAAATGTGCTGGGTTTCAGATCCTGAAACTGTTTTATGGTAACTGGCTCTTCTCGCCGTTCTGGCATCCCGTTATTGATGTTAGTTTGCAAAGCTTGCAAAAAGTTAGTAACCGCTATCTTTCCATTATTCTTTCCATCGATTCAGTGCCACTGAATGATGACTCGCTTCCGTTACCATTATTGGCCATTCTACAAAGTAGCATATATGTAAGCATGTGTAGCACAATCTATATCTATATAAAATGCCAACTTTACTATTTCTACAATTAATATTACATCTTTGTTTCAAACATCAAAAATTGTGTTAGTGTCTCATCCTTGTGGTAAACAAAAACAAAAAGATAACAAAAAGGGACCAGAACACATCATGGTCAACATACAAAAAGATTTTCTTCTACCAAATCTAGAGTGGTGGGTCAAATGGGCCGAAAAACCATGGGAAATAGTGTTGCATAAAAAGCTCAAATTCTCATCCTAACTGGACTACACCAAAACACATCCACGCTGTCTGGACTGTGAAAATGGGGATAGACTGCATGTATCCCAAAAATGCTCGATCGACAACCCAGTCGGGTGTCTCAACATATGACAAGTCATCATTAAAGTCAACATTTTGAATATTAATTATCTCCAACGGGTTAGAGACTGTGGTGAAAATATAGTCCTCAGGGTACACATTCCCCCTTTGGCCACAAAATCTGGGGGTAGAGGACCTATGATATAGTGCGGGCGGTCATGTCTCGGGGCAACGCCAAGGACACGAATGGGTCCAAGAAAACATCTACATGTATCGGTACGGATTTGCCTCCACAGTAAATGTGGGACATCGGTAGGGTCAGCCTGGATATAAACTGGCCGACCCATCAACTGGGCAAGGCCTGGATGCAATCCTCTGATTATGTCCTCTGAATCTCCCCCACCCTCAGGTGAGGCGGGAGGCGGGATGCTCGGCTAAAATCTCATCTAAATTAATGGCCTCGAGCTCATCCCAAAACGCATCATCAAGTTTAATCTCTGACATTCCTACAACACCAAGATAAATGTGAGATTTTACACAAAAGGACTAATGTTGCAGGTAAATATTTATTATTATTATTATTTTATCTTATTTTACTTTGTTATGTTTATTTAGCTATATAGTTTTATTTATAGATTTATTTATAACTTTTCGAACTTCCTGATCAAATTAAAATAAATTTTTTTTTTTTTTGGGAACCGTTGCTCTGATACCACCTTTGTCACGACCCGACCCCAAGGGCTTAGAGTTGGAATCGCAACTTACTAACTCATTCTATTTGTAGCAAATTAAACTGCGCAAGCGGAAATAAAAATAATTAAAAAGGAAATTACTCCTATTTTACTATTTCAATAAGAGAAAATATATTTATAGGGCTTTTATTATTTTATTATTCAGTGACCGGCCCCGAGTAGAACAAAAGGGAGTAAAAATATATATATATATATATATAAAAAGAAAGACAAAATAGTGGTTCAACATCAATCCATGTGCGGATTCCATTTCGTGAGATTATGGGTTTCTCCTACATCTCATCACCTGAAAGGGTAACAGCTATAAACACACAGCAGAGTGAGAAATATTATACCAAAAGTATAAGGAATACAAAATAACCATAGATAGTTAGTTAGGCCAAAACATTTACATAACTCAATTTAGTAAATAAATCATTTAAGTGGCAGAAACTGAAGTACATAAATTATGTAAATAAATAACCATAACTACGGTACAGAACAGAATAGAACAGAGGTCACAAAAAGTGACAATCAGAATAGAGGTCAATGGATCCATGACAAACAGAGGACTACAAAGTGGCCAAACAGAGGCCAATGGTTATTTAAGTCCCCCAAGGCGTGGGACTCCCGTGGTGGTACTTACAAAATATAATTGTTTATAAGGTTATAGTCAAATATATACTAAAATTTAAACAAACATATTCATGGGTTTCATTTTAAACAAATAAAGTTTAGAAAATAACCCACATAATTGAAATATTAATATATTTTATATTATGGTAAGTCAAAACATACGTAAAATATATTATGATAACTGAAGGTATAATATAACTCACCTTAAGATTGAGTCTTACTATTTCCTTTCTATTTTTCCTATCTTTTCGAAATTGTTCTTCCTCCTTTCGATTTCTCTTTATTTTACTCTCTTATTTCCCTCATTCCTTTACCTCAGTCGTATTCTTATATACATGCAAACTCATGATGCCTCTATAGGATGACTCATTCTCCCTAAAGCTAGGTGGCACAGATGGCATCCAACCATCTCTCCTGATAGATTGTAATCTAAGATTATAATCTACTAATTAATGGCAAGTAATTGATTGTCCTTATCTCATTAGCAGGTTTATTATTATTATTTATTTACTCTAACTTTTACATTTATTTATTTACTATCTTTAACTCTAATTTGGCCCAACTAGTATTATAATTCTATATTTGTGTAAATTTGGTCCCAAATAATAGTCCATAATTAATCCCATATTTGATAACCCGATGTCAATATTAAATTCTATATTATTATTATTTATTTAATAATATATTATCATATACACCCACAATTATTTATATTAATAAATATTTATGTGATATTTAATTAAATGTTCAGGGTGTCACAGCAAGTCCAAAGATAATGATCTTGGACCCCATCAAGTGCCCCACAACCAAATCTATGAATGGAGCTTTTGAAACAACATTTGGTGCACAACCCTATTCTGGTGCAACACAAATTGGCAGAGATCGGCTGCCCAAAATGTTGTTTGGTATACCTCTTTATTAGAGTATGGGACCCAATTAGTTTATTAAAATATTTAGTTTTCGTATGGTGTTGGTTATAATATATTTTTATAGATTACATCTAACTTGTGGAGTCCTAATTCAGTTTAGTAACAGTTAGGGTTTTGATAACAAAACTCAAGAATCAATAATATATATATATATATATTTGGTATTGTTTTTTCCCAAAAAAAAAGAGGTGTTGTACGGCTGCTACAGGTTGTCTTCGGTAGGTTTTGTTCTCAAACACAAGTTTGCTGTGTGATTGGTTTCTTGGGTGCATATTCAAGGTGTGGCAGTGTATTGCTTGGGCAAACAAACAATAGTGCTCCTTGTTCGTCTGGTTCAATTTTCGGTTATGATTTGGTTCGTTATTTTGGATCTTCTACAACTTTATTTTGAAGATTTTTGTTCATCTATTTGGTGAGGTTTTTCCTCTTGTTTATTTGTGATTATTTAGAATTCTCCTAAGGATGGTTTGTGAGACCATTCATGTCTCGTTTGTAATCGTTTGAAAACTTTTTAGTTGATAGTGGAATTGGATTTCGATCCCGTGGGCGTACCTCATATTGAGGGAACCAAGTAAAATTTTTGTGTTGCTGTTGATTTAATTTTTCCGTATTAGTTTTTATTCCCATTGATTGATTTACTTGTGGGGAACCATATATTTTCCCTAACAACTGGTATCAGAGCTTACAGTTTATTAGGGTTTATTTATTTGTGTAAATCAATGGAGGGGAATGTGGGTCGTATGTCTAGTTTCAATTGAAGCAATTGGGTAACTTGGAAAACTAAAATGGAGGACCTATTATTTTGTAAAGATTTGTATGGGCCTATTGAGGGTGACAGTAGCAAACCCGAGGGTATGCAAGATGATGAATTGAAGAGGCTTAATCGAAAAGCCGTTGGTGTTATCCATTAATGGATTAATGACAGTGTGTTTTATCATGTTGCTACTGAAACTTCAGCACATGATTTATGGAAAAAAATTATAAGGCCTTTATGATAGGAAATCAGCCACAAATAAAGTTTTTCTATTTCGTAAGTTGGTTAATTTAAAATATAAAGAGGGCAGCCCTATTCTGGAACATCTAAATGAAATAAAGAGTATTGTTAACCAACTTACTTCTACGAAAATTATTTTTGATGATGAGTTACAGGCTTTGATACTACTAAGTTCTTTGCCCGAAAGTTGGGAGACTTTGGTTGTGACAGTTAGTAATTCGGCGCCCGATGGAGTTATCACAATGGGCCAAGTCACTAGTAGCTTGTTGAATGAAGAAACTAGAAGAAAATCAGCGGGTTCCTCTCATTCAGAAGCATTTGTTGTGAGAGGCCGAAACAAAACAAGGGAGAGGAGTAAGACTCCTCATGGTCGTGATCAAAGCCGTGACAAATCAAGAGATGGTTCTTTTTCAAATAAAGACATTGAGTATTATTATTGCCATGAGAAAGGGCACATGAAGAGGGAATGCTGAAAGCTCAAGAATAAGGAGAAAAGGCGTGACAAAAGTGTGGATAAGAAGCAAGAAGACACAACAGCGGTTACTACCAATGGTGATCTCATGGTCGTTTGTGAATATAATTGTATCAATTTTGTGGGCCAAGAGAGCAATTGGGTGATTGATTCTGGTGCTTCTTTTCATGTGACTTCTCGAGTTGATTTCTTCACAACCTACACCAAAGGAGATTATAGTTCTGTTTGAATAGGTAATGAAGGTTTGTCTAATATTATTGGCATGGGTGATGTTTGCTTGGAAACAAATTTAGGCTGTAAGTTGTTGCTTAAAGATGTAAGGCATGTTCCCAACATTCGCCTCAATTTGATCTGTACTGGGAAGCTAGATGATGAATGTCACGCCCCAAACCCGCCCCTAAAAGTTTGGGCATGACCTATTCAGAAACGGACATGTAACTTGGTAACATAACATACGGGGCCTTATCGGAAGCACGAAAAAAATGGAAATAATGAAACAAATAAACTCCATTGAGCTACTTCTACATGCCAGGATCTCAATTTAGGCTGTAAGTTATTGCTTAAAGATGTAAGGCATGTTCCCAACATTCGCCTCAATCTGGGAAGCTAGATGATGAAGGCTTCAACAACGAATTTGGTGATGGAATATGGAAGCTTACAAAGGGTTCTTTGGTGGTGGCTAAGTGCAAGAAGACTCATACACTTTATATCATGCAAGGAAAAATTTGTAAAGGTGTTGTCAATGCACTTGAAGATGATACTTCTACTGAATTGTGGCATAAGCGGC